CTCTCTCTCTCTCTCTCTCTCTCTCTCTCTCTCTCTCTCTCTCTCTCTCTCTCTCTCTCTCTCCCCCCTCTCTCTCTCTCTGTCTCCTTCTCTCTCCAGGCCACCTGGCACCCGCTCCCCTCCTTGCCCGCCCGCCCCCCTGCCGAGGCGCGCGAGCGGGAGTTCCTGGACCAGCTGGCGCTCATCAACTGCGAGCCGCCAGACCGCGCCCTTCGCGACGAGGTGCCGCCCGGGCAGCAACTGCGGGCGGGCGGGGGCGACAGGGGTGCAGGGGTCCTCCTTCTCGTCCTCCTCTTCCTCCAGATCCTCCTCTTCCTCCTTCTTCCTCCCTTCCTCCGTCTCCCCCCTCCCGCCCCATCTCCTCTTGCTACCCGCGCGTGCCTCCCGCAGACCTCTGGGGGAGGCGGGGCGTGCGCGGTGGGGGTGATAAGAGGGCGAGGAGGATGAGGGGGATATGGAGGAGGAGCAGGAGCAGGTGGAGGAGAAGGAGGAGGGGGAGAAGGGGGGGGAGGAGGAGGAGGAGTGGGAGGAGAAGGATGAGTAACAATAGGAGGAGGGGGAGAAGAGGGGGAGGAGGGCAGAGCTCAGTGTTTGGCCCCAGGGCCCCCAGGTGATTCGATACTTGATGGCGCAAGGCGCGATTGGCAACATCGGGGCAGCAGAGCTGGCGGTTGACGTGCTGGCCAGCGTGCGCGCTGACATGTCCGATTTGGACGCCATGGTTGCGGGGGGGTTGATTCGCCGAGATGTCGACGAGTTCGCGGAGCATCGCCTGTACGTGGACCCCTCGTCGTTGAAATGGGAGGGCAGGTTCATCGCTAGGGAGAGGAGCTCGTTCATACGCGAGCCCTGTGTTTCTTGGCGTGGTCGGAGTTCGAAGTACGATATGGCAGTGTCGTTGCGTGCTGACGGTTGGGCTGTGGTTCCTGCTGTTGTTGCACCGCATATGCGCGATGGTCCAAAGCATTTGTTGCGGTCCATGGTGTCTCGATCGGCCGATTATTATCTGGCCATGTCAATGAGTGAACAGATTTTTCAGAGAGGAAGTGACCGAATCCATCATTCGATGGTTGCTGGGTATTATCATTGTCTGGTCACTCTCGAATCGCTCCATGGTTTCCATGACCGGCCTGACTTCGGAGATCTCAAGAACGCTGACTTCGTGGACATCTGCAAGCACGGCGACGCAACAGTCGTTCTACCGCCGAGGCCTCTTGCGCTGCCCGCCTTGGCCGCTCACTTGGAGGGCGCCGACTGGGAGGGCGGCGGCGGCGGCGGTGCCGCGGCCGCGCTCCCCCTCCTCGGCGACGAGCCCCCAGCGCTGGCGCTCGGAGGCGACGTGGAGGCTGCGGCGATCGAGATGCTCGGCGCTGCTGTGCCAGATGCTGTCGTAGTGGCAGCGCCGCCAGCGGCTAGGTCCATGAGAATCGGCGACTTCAAAATCAACGTGGATAACTACAGTCATTCCAGCGGCCGCCAGAGGGCGTACATCACGTGCTTGGCGCACAAGCCTTGCTTCAAGTATTGCACCGTGGACATGTTCCCATCGTTCGACAGGTGCGCGGCGTGGCTGGTCGCTTGGGCGGAGGGGGGGCCCCTCTTCGACGACAAGCGCGCCCACCGCGACTTCGTCCCAGCGGATGCTGCCGTGGACGCAGCTCTCGCTCATGTCCCGCCATGACACTATGTGCGGCGGCCTGTTCTGTCATAGAAATAAGAAAAGTGTTTGAGCGGTTGGGTGGCTAGAGGGTCGAACGCCACGGGGGGCAAACGAGAGCTCGAAGATGCGGTGGGCGAGGATGGGGGAGGATGTGGAGGATAGGGGGAGGATGGGAGGGAATGATGGTGAGGGGGGGGAGGAGGGGCAGGATTGGTCGTTGGCCGCTGAGGTGAGGGCGGGGTTCCGAACTTCCCTTCAGGTGTTGAAGCTCCTGCTCCTCCTCCCTCCTCCGCCTCCTCCCTCCCTTCCCCTTCGCGTCCTACTGTTCTCGCCCTCCTTGTCTCTCTCGACGAGTCTTGACGCCCTCCTCCACCTCCACCTCGCCCTCCCCTCTTCCCCCTCCTCCTTCTCCTGCTTCTGCCCTCGCCACCACCCCTCCTCCTCCACTTCCTTTTTCCGCCGCCTCCTCCTCTCCTCTCCTCCTTCTTTTCCGCTTCCTCCTCCTCCTCCCCCTCCTCCTCCTGATCCTCCTCCTCCTCCTCCTCTTCCTCCTCCTCCTCCTCCTCTTCTTCCTCCTCCTCCTCGTCCTCTTCCTCCAGCTCCTCCTCCTCGCCGTGCTCACCCTCCCCCAATCGAGTTTTCACGTGGGAGTTGTTCGAATATGCGTTTTCCCTGGGGACATGCATATTTTCAAAACATAATAAAGCCTGCCTTCGCAGGGGCCCGAGGGCCCAAGTCCAGGGCCCTGGGGCCCAGCCCAGCCCAGCCCAGCCCGGGGCCCGCTTCCAGAATTTAAACGAGCCACAACATAAGTGTTTGGTGTCGCCCTTCGTTTTTTTTTCGGCCCCTCCTGTATCTTCCCGCGGTCTGGCTAGGATTCCGATTGCGAACCCAGCCGCGACGTGGCGCGAGGGCACGGCGTGCCCTGGACGCGGGCGATTCGCCGTGCATCTAGCATGTTGGGGTCTCTTGTCATCTTAGAAGCCGTTGAGGGCGTTGTGAACATATCCCCCAAGACAGCGGTCTGATTTCGCGTTTGGCGGTCTTTAGCACCCCCCCTTCCTGGGGCGCGAGGTCGGATGAGGGGGGGGGGGGGGGGGGGGGGGGGGGGGGGGGGGGGGGGGGGGGAGGAGGGGGGGGGGGGGGGGGGGGGGGGGGGGGGGGGGCAAGATGATTAACGATGCCCCGCCATCTTTTCCCTTCTCCTTGTCCCGCCCTTGTCGCTGGTCACACCGCCACGCCGACAGTGCGTTTGGCCCGAGAAGTTAGCCGCCCAGATGAGGGGTATCACTGAACCTTGGGCCATTGCTTCGAGAGAGGATGAAAGGCACCAAGCTCGCATTCGTGTTCCGATTGGTCTGTGCTGGCGTCGTTGTTCTCGTCAGTGGATCGCCTCTTCCATCCCCACCGTGGTCTTGCAGAACACGTGCCCCGTCTTCTTCGCTTGCCGCATGTCAGCGGGGTGCGAACGAAGGGGGGCGTTCGGGTTCCAAGCGGCGTTCGGGATGCAAGAAGCGAGCCGATTTCTCAAGGTCGGCGTGTTGGATCTTCGCAATGTCTAGGCCACTGCCACTGCCACCCATCGATGCCGACGACGCCGACAACGCAGACTCTGACTAGCGCAGCTCCGAGTTGATCGGAAGGTTGACATGCCGCTCTTGATAAGGACTTGACACAAGGAGGGGGGAGGTCAGGAGGCTGAAGTGTTCAATGGAGGAGGTCAGGAGGTTGGACGGGAGATTGGACGGGAGGTCAGGGAGGAGGTCAGGCAGGTCAGGGAGGAAGTCAGGGAGGAGGTCAGGGGGCTGGACGGGAGGGTGGACGGGAGGGTGGACGGGGGGGTGGACGGGGTTGGACGGGAGGGTGGACGGGAGGGCGGGCGGGGTTGGACGGGAGGGTGGACGGGGTTGGACGGGAGGGTGGACGGGGGGGTGGACGGGGTTGGACGGGAGGGTGGACGGGGTTGGACGGTCGACGGGGGGGGGTGGACGGGGTTGGACGGGAGGGTGGACGGGGGGGCCCGGGGGGGGTGGACGGGCTTGGACGGGGGGGTGGACGGGGCTGGACGGGCTGGACGGGAGGGTGGACGGGACTTCGGCAAGGCTCACTTTGGGCTTCTCTGGGCGTGTCAGCGTCGCCGATTCAGTTGAGGTCAGCAGGTTAAGATGTTGGATGTTGGGGCGTTAGTTTTTTTTGGGGAGTTTGGTCAGTTATTGTTTCTCATTGCCTCGGCCACCATCTTTCTCATATTCTTCCTCGACTCCTCCTGAGCCTCCGCCTCGGTCCGCCTCCTCCTCTTCCTCCCCCATCTAGCCTCACTTCGCCCCTCGTCATGCTGCATGCCATCTGCTTCCTTCTCATCCTGCTGCTGCTGGTGCGCCTCCTCCTCCTCCTCCTCCTCGTCCTTCATCCTCCTTTTTATACCGACAACCGTTATCGAGCGCTCGAGCTCGAGGCTCGAGGCTCGAGTCGAGTCGAGGTTGCTCCGATCATCCTCGCTTAGCTTGCATAGCATCTTGCATCCTACACCTTGCACCGCACCCTTGCAACGCGAGCCTAGTTCGAACAGCATGGCGCTGCAGCTGCCTGCGCCTCGCAATCCGAGCATCGTTGATGACCAGCCCTGTCGGCCTGTGCGCGCGGCGTGGGAGGCCCCCTGGTTGAAATACCTTCGGTGCGATCCAGATTCAAAGGTTCGCTTGGCGGAGGTCCGCAATCCTCTGACTTGTTGCTTCCCTTGCGCGGGCATCGGCGGCCCCGAGAGGGCGATCAAGGAGGCTGGTTGGCCCATCGTGCCGAAGGACACCCTTTGGGCTTCCAAAGCCATGGGGGACCTTGGACCTTGGGGGCCAACTTGGGGGTCATGGCAGGCTATCTTGGGGTCATCTTGGTGCCCACTTCGCCTGAGCTTTTCGGGCCCCATCCCAGCCGCTGATCAGGCGCTCTCTCGCGGCTCCAAGTTGGCTTGCAGGGGGGCGCCAGAACGCTTCAATAGCGTCTCGTCACTTTCATGGGCTCTGATAGTGACGACCTGGGGAGCCCTCAGGGCCTCGGGGCTCCCCAGGGGCCTCAGGGGCCCCCATCCTGGAATCCTGGCCTTATCGCGAGGCTTCTCGGGGACCCTGCTGCCTGGTTTCGGCCCCACATGGTTGCGGCTTTAACGCTACTCAGGGATCTCCCTCCTATCCTGTCCTGGCGCCCGGCGGCTTCTTTTCAGTCAAGTCGCTTCCTCCTCTTCCTCCTCGTCTTCTTCCTCCTGTTCCTCCTGGTCTCCCCCCCTCTTTCTCTCCGCTTTACACCGCCCGCTGCGTCCCTGTCTGCCTTCGATCGCCGCCTCCAGGACGTGATCGAGATAGACGAGAAGGTCGGCGGCATCTTGAGCGACCTCCACGCGATGCTCGGGACCGACCCCTCGGTTGTCCGCGTGGGGGCCGACGTGTTGAATGTCGACATGGAGGAGTGCGACGCGGTGATCAGCGGCCCCCCGTGCCCGCCGTGGTCGACACTGGGCTTTCGCAACGGGGTGCAGGACCCGCGTGCTTCGGTGCTCCGCAAGGTGACCGATCACGTCGTCGACTGTGCGAATGGCAAGGGTCAGCCGCCACGCTCGGGCCGTGGCCGCCTCGAGTTCTGCATCTTCGAGAACGTCGACGCTTGGCGGCACCGCCCTGGCGGCGACGCTAACGAGGCGCCCTTCGTCGACCAGTTCATGGCGCACTTGGAGGAGGAGATGCCCTACTTCAAGTTCAAGGTGATCGCGGGGCAAACTCACGCCTCCTCCTCCCCCTCCTTCTCCTGCTGCTGCTGCCGCCGCCGCTGCTGCTGCTGCTGCTGCTCCTCCTCCTCCTCGTCCTTCTCCTCCTCCTCCTCCTCCTCTTCCTCCTCCTCCTCCTTCCTCCTCTTCCTCCCCCTCCTCCTCCTCCTCCTCCTCCTCCTCCTCTTGATCTTCCTAGCCAGCCCGAATGCTTCTGGGGGGGGAGAACTCAAATTTGTTGAGGGCGTTCGGCGTCGGACCCCTCCCAGGACATCCGCATCAAACTTGATTCAGTTGTGGGTTCCCGGCTGCCCCGACTACCCACTCACCTTCCTGTTAGATTGTTTGACATCCCCTCAGAAGGTCTGGGAGGTCAACGCGACCCATTGCCACCTGGCCCAGACGCGCCCCAGGGTCTATGTGATCGGCATTCGCCGCTGGATCCTGGATGCTGCAGATACGGCATTCGCGGAGCGTCCGCAGAAGTGCCAGCCGCCGCCCTTGCACCTGTTCATCGACGAGACGCCCGATTGGGCTTCTGGCGTATCGCGCTTGACAGAGAAGCAGCAGGAGAACATGGAGGGCTACATCGCGCTGCTGGGGGAAAAGAAGCAATGGCCAGAGCACCGCGGGGTGACTGGGCATTGCAATGATGAGCACCGAACCTCTAATACCCAGATCTTCCCCTCATCAGTCCTTAAACCTTCTCCGAGACTTCTCCTCCCGCCTCCCGCTCCGTCCTACTCCTACTCCTACTTCTACTCCTCCTTCATCCTGCGTCGTCTTCGCTCCCGCGCCCGAGGCAAAGTTCGCCACCGTGGACATTGACCGGGCCCTCGATAAAGCGTTCCAGGGGTTTCTGCGCGTGAACACGGCGCCGACGTTCACCACCCGCAATGATAACTTGTACATCATCACCACCCAAATCGAAGAGTTACATGGTCGACGCATGACTCATGCTGAGAGGTGCCGCTTGAGCGGCGTCGAGCCCAGGAGCATCAGTTCGAGTCACGGCAAGAAGACTGTGATCAAGGCTTTGGGCAACATGATGCCAGTGGACGCGATTGGCAGGGTGTTGAACCAGATCCTCTTGGTGATCCGATGGGGGGTACTTCAAATTTGGGACTTCCCACCCTCCTTGGGGCTCTTAGGGACCTTGTGAGGGCTGTCTTGAGGCTCTCTTAGGCTCTCTTGAGGCTCTCTTGAGGGCTAGAAAAAAAACCAAGCCGAGGCCAAAGTGGCTGAGAAATTTCCTCAGCCACTTTCGGTCCAGACCCTCGCTATCTTGAGGCTGTTTTGACGCTCTCTTAGGCTCTCTTGAGGGCTGTCTTGGGGCTCTCTTAGGCTCTCTTAGGCTGTCTTAGGCTGTCTTGAGGCTCTTAGGGACCTCGTGAGTCGTCGTCGTCGTGAACCTCGATGCCGTCGCCCTCGTCTTCGAGTCGATAGCGAGATCGTAGTCGTAGTCGTCGCGTGCTTTCTCCTTCCCCCCGCTAGGTGATCGAGACATGGGAGAACGCCCTGTCCGCGCTGCCTACGCGGTCCCCGTTCACCATCGAGCACACGGCCGCCTTCAGCCAGTTCGGCGTGGTGCCCGACTACGGCGAGGCCGACGATGTCGCCATGATCCTCGGGGGCGGCATCGCGTTGTCCGACGCTGAGAAGAGCGAGGAGGAGGGCGAGCCCGTCTGCAAGAAGCGCCGCGCGGACCCAGAGGCCGCGGAGGGCCAGGGGGGCAGCTCTGGCAGCCAGGGCCCGGCGCTTGGCGACGCGGTGGTTTCCTCTTCTGCCCTCCGTCGTCTTCGTCGCATCCCCCCGTCGCAGGGGGGAGGGGGCACGCGCAGTTTTCAGAAGCGTTTTTTGGAAGGAGAATGGCCTGAAAATCAATTCACGAAAAAAATGGTTTTCGGAGGGGGTCCTCTTCCTCTTCCTCCTCCTCCTCCTCCTCCTTCTCCTCCCCCTCCTTCTCCTCCTCCTCCTCCTCCTTCTCCTCGTTCCGCCGCTCAGAATTTCAATCGAAAGCGATGTCGTCTTGATGGGCAT